CAGCGGGTCAGCGGTTCGAATTCTTAGCACCGCGTAACAGAGTGAGCTCTTGTTACTTGTTCCAGCTTCTGCCAACCTAGCAGTTCAAAAGCATGTAAAAATGCAAGTAGAAAAATAGAGACCATCTTTGGTGGGAAGGTAACAGCGTTCAGTGTGCATTTTGCGTTTAGTCATGCCGGCCACATGACGGAGACATCTTTGGACGTCTGGCTCTTTGGCTTTGAAACAAGTGAGCATCACCCCCTAGAGTCAGGAACGACTAGCACATATGTGCGAGGGGAATACCTTATAACTAAATATTCACACACAAAAAATAGTAAGTCAAAGTTTCCTGTATGCAGCATTTAAAGCTGATCAACTGCTGTATCAGATATTAAAGGTGGCAATCAACTGTTTCTCTGGATATATTCAGATAGTATCCGAATCATCTGAATGCTTTGATTTGGATTCTTTCATTGAGCAGCAGGTAGCAGCAAAAACCCCTTCCAATTATGGCTTTATAAGAAGATGTTGCACAAGCCCACTTAACCACTAGATGGCATAGGTACTACAGGAGCCTGAGAGGTTACTAAGGGCCTGGTGGAAATTCAACATTCTGTTGAACTACACATATTTCACTGTTTCCACATGGTAGCTGCCAGAAGAATCTGATACAGTGTGATATAGAAACAAGATATAACTGGAATAATGAGATTTCTTTCTGGTTTTTTTTTAAGCCCTTTAAATGTCTGGTTTTAACAGTCCTATTGGGCACTGTAAATGCTTCAGGTGCAGTTGATATTCCTTTTACATTCCTGGCTTTTGGCTGTGTTTTTATGGAAAAACATATTGAACTTCAGTTGAAGAATATTTGATAATCCCTCTTAGAACATACTATAACAGCTGGTATTTCTGTGTTGTAGCAAATTCATTCTGAGGAGTAGTTAGCAAAACCATAAGTATTCTGCTGCAAAATAAAGTATTTTAAACCAGTTCCGCCAAAGGAAATTTCAGTTAAAAATGTAACTTGTTATGTGTTTTGTGTGTGTGGGGATATTTATTTAATTTTAAGCTTTTTACTGGTAATGATTTCAGAAGGTCATTTACTGTACTGCATATACACTGCTGAATACCACATAGCTTTTTAAAATAATAGATTCTGAAAGCAACTATTACAGATTTTAACCAGAATAAAAATAGTAAATAGTATCTATTCTTCATACTAGTTATTTTCTAATTTCATACGACTTTCATTTTTAAATAAATGTTATTAACTTTGGGGAGGGGTAACCCAACGACAGCTAACAAACTAATAAACAGTCCAGTGAGAAATAATGAAAAGTTGATTGATTTCAATTAGCATTCTGATTCCTGAATAACTCTATATCTTTGGGTACGAGTTTAAAATTTTATTTTTTTGGCTTTGCTATGTGCATGTTACATTTATACCAGGAAAAGTGAATTGATGCTTTGCAACGCTTGTACGCTCTGTCCTTGGCCTGATTTCAGGTAAGTTTTAAAAACTTAATCTGTAGAGATATTTATACAAGGTTGCATAAATTGAGTTGTGCGTAACAGCTATAACTCAGTGCAGAATTATGCACACACAAGCAAATATGCATAACAGCCATAATTCAGTGCAGAATTAAATACACACAAGAAAACATACTTAATAATCCATAACACGGGGCATCTGCCTCTTGAATGTTCTGTATTCCTATTTTTAAAAAAATCTCAAGTTGAAAATGTTTTAACATCTGTTGTATAAACGGTTGCAAGGTTGCAAATGAAATAAGTCCTAACTATTTTAGAAGCTGTTAGAAAAGAGTATTCAGATGCTGAAACTAATTATTTAGGAAAACCCAAAATTACGTATTTGCACTTGTTTGGAAAGAGTACACAACAAGTAAGGTGCATCATTCACAATGCATTAATGCTAATAATTTAAGTAATATAATATGAATGTGGCTAAAATCTCCCAGCTGAGAACATATAATGCTAGAGTTAGCTTGGGGATATATATATATTCTTAGTTTTTGTTGACATGCCAAAAAAAGTTCATACTTTTGGCTGCATTCTTAACTCTGTGATTATTCTACTTAGAAGATTTCAATCAGTATAAACTATATTTTGGAAGTATATTAATATTTTAGTCTGATGGTAGTAGTTGTAGTAATTACTTCTGACTTGGCCCACAAATATGTTTCTTGCTGCTTTCCAATGTCCATGCTATATATAATCTACATAACTGAGAATGGAACAAGGTGATTGTACCATTTTTTTTTCTAAGAGCCCTTTTAGAAAGTGGAAAAACTAATTATAGTACCTGAATTCTAGGGACTTTTCCTTAAATGACTTCCCAAAAATCAAGCTGATTTTGAAAATGTACAGATCATAACAGGCGGTTGTTTATGATGATATTGGAATATTGTTAAGATTTCCTTGCATGTCCCTAAACACACTGCATCCATATATACACATGAATAAATGAAACATTATTAAGAATAATGCATACTCTATTTTAGGGTCCTATAATGACATCTCTGTAATGGTTTAAAGAAATGTATTTAAAATTGCTACCCTTTAGTCACTTGCAGTTTTTAGTAATATTATTTTTCCATATTTGTATTTTTTTTCAGGGCACTTTGAAATTGCCTAAACGTTACTGAGGAAAGTGTCTGCCAACAATTGAAGGGAAGTTACTGCCTTCTAGCCGAAATTCTTAACGATGCCAGCTTTATCAACTGGATCTAGTGGAGATGCAGGTAGGGTTGTTGGTTTTCTGTACATAATTAGCTTTTATTAATTCATTTAGTAATGTATAACTTACTAATTATTAATTCCTGTGTAGCTAGCTATCTATATCCAAAATCTCATGGTAAACATAAATATGGGTAAGGATAACCATCCGTACCTAGATACATTCAAATGTATATCCCCTATAGAAATGACATCCCATATGTGGATCTCTTTCACTTCATTGCTTTATATATAAGAAACCAATCCTTGTAAATGAAATAAGCTTAGTGTGACTTTTTTCTACCAGTGAGATCAACCAATTTAAAATTAACTAAAAATTTAAGGAAAATTGGCTGGTTATAACACTATATAAGCCTACGTCATGCTGTATTTGAACTTGACTAAATCAAGTAAATTGTTTTTAAATCATGTATTTTTAGAGATTGTAAAAAAAAAAGACCTCACACAACATTTTTGAGTGGTTTCATGAACATGTTCATTAAGCATGCATGGTGTATTTGAATTTTGAACTATTTGGAGCTCAAACCTTTTTCAGAATGGTAAAATCAATGCTCAGAGCAGCTGTTTTTACATTCAAATTGGGGCATTTCAAATTTGAAGGACTCTGAATTCAAAATTTGTTGGCTTCCTTATTGTAGTTTCCTTATTGTTCTTCTAGGAACAATATAGAGATGGGTTGTTATCACCTTCTTCCTTAACAGATGCTTGTTTTGTAATTAAAGCAACTTAATAGTAGAGCTCAACATTTTTAAAACACTTATGAATTTTAGAAAATTAATTATAGCCTCTAAACAAAAGCAGTATGGGGTCAGTTGACACAAGAATCTTCTGACTTCTTTATTCTGAAAAATAGGACTCTTAAAACTTTCTGAAATAAATATTACTTGAATTTTAGTTATTCTATGTGAAAATAGCAAATTTACAAGTTAATAGGTTTTGTCCTATTCATTAAAAATTTGGTGGGCTTAGTGATATGTTCTTTGAGTTCATTACCACAAGTTACAATAACATTGAAGTTATTGTAGCCTGACTTGGTTCAAAAATCTGATAAGGTAATTAACAAATAAAAGGAGATAACCACTTATCCTTGTACTGATTTAAAATCTTCCAGACATGATTGTAATACATAAAAGGGATGGAACAAAATGACCATATTTTTTTATCGTTTAGGTCTATTTTATAGCTTCCACAGATTTGTACTAATAATGAAGCTATGAAGGATATGACAAAAATGGTGATATTAAATTTCTCTAGACTAATAGTAAAATTTTCCACTCTGATGTCAAGAATGTTGAGCATCTGGACTCTTGAGTAGTTTACCACGTGAACACTTTTCCCATTTTTTTAGCCATTTATTCTTTTCCTAAGAACTTTCAAACTTAGGTAGAAAATTGTAGTAACAGAAACTAGTTTCTAAAATTGGAAAATATATTTTGTGTTGATCATTTTCCAGTATTTGTGAAAACTATTTTATTATACATCTCAAAATATGCAAAGGTGTCAATGTATTCAGTGAGAATATCATTCAAGAAATCAGTTGTTTAAATGTAATGTAGGTAATGTTTACCGTTCCATGTGGTACTATCTCTGAGCCCTCATCCTGTCCCCAGCAAGTTCCTGTATTAAACTATTTCCAAAAGCTACATGTTTTGCTAAGGCAAACTTCTTCAGGCTTATAAAAGCAGTATTATAGTGAATATTGAGTACAGGTTACATACATTTTCAATAGCAGAAGAACTATGTAAGTTCTTTTGCTGTTAAACTTCTATCAGTGGACTGGATTTTGTGGCTAAAATTGCTGAATCAGTTCAAAGATCCTATAATTCACTTTTTAAATAAACAGTAATTCTAGATGCTTATGTTTATTTCATATATATATATATATAGTTGCAGGCTGTTACCATTCCATTGTAAGTGTAATAGACAAAGCATTTTCCTTGTCCCCTCAAATTTCCTTTAGCCTTACTAACCGCTAATATAGAAGTTAGGTTTGAGATATCCTAAATGTTAAGTACTCCAAATGTTTTATATGAACAATTCAGCATGAGTTCAAATGGGCAACATAAATTACTGTTAATAACCAATCAAATATTTGTTTGATTTCAGATGTAATTAATAAAAAAGCAGTTTTTCTGTGACAAATAAAATTAGAAAATACTTCTAACTAAATACAGTACTATCAAACTTCAAAAGTTCCATTGCTGGAACTTCTTAAGAAAGCTGTCAAACTGTGTCTCAATGGTATAATTATAAGCAACAATGAAATGTGGTTTTGTTAAATAGTTTATATATTGAAGACTTGATAAAATATATAATCAAGAGCAGGCTTAATATTACTTAAAGCAGGATTCAAATAATTCAAAATAATATCCATCATACATATTGGGTGCTAATCCAAAAAAAATCATTTTGTTTATTTTTAGTTCAACTTAATAAAAGCTAATATATCTATATAAAAGCAGTTGCCTCACTGTATAGACTGTGGATAAGCTCTGATTTATAGCCTGATGACTGAGGGTATTTCATGTAGTTGATTGTTTAGATTTCTAAAACAAAAATGGACATTTAAAAATTTAAATATGCTTTCCAGCCTGGGTAGCTACATTTTGATGTAATATATAAACCAGCTTCTGGACCATAAATGAATTAAAAATTGAGGAAAATCCTAAGAGTACTGTAAATAGGAGTCTCATTTTTCTAAGTTAACCAAATGTTGAGAAGTGTGTTAAAGGACTTGGGATTAACAGTCCAATAGCAGGGAGGATGCCATGCCCCCATCAGAGCTTGAATCTGCAGAGGAAGACGAGCCAGAGCCAGAGCAGATGGCGATCAAGGGGGCAGCTTCATTGGCTTCGGAGGAATGTGAGGAGGAGCAGACCGAGGCAGCCCAGGGCCCCTCAGGATGGGGATGGCTTGTTAGCAGAGAGGAACGGGGGCAGCAGTGGACATGAGGAGCGACAGAGCTTAGGCAATGAGCAAGGACTTCCCCCTCCTGATCCCCAAGCACAGACAGGAACAACATAGGCCAACCCAACGACTCAGGAGGAGTGCGCCCTGCCATTCTCCACAAGGCCTGAGATTTAAGGAGACACTGTGGGGAGGGGCATTTGTCAGGAACAAATGCTGAATTGGTAGAGTTTGGTGTGCTGGTACAGACATTTGGAGTTTGCAGGACCGCTTTCTTCCTCCTGACTTCATGGACTCAGTACTTTGTTCCTTACCTTGTGGGCTCATTGTTTGTTGGTTCGTGGACTCATTTCCCTGTTCCTTTGTTTTGCTGGAGTGGGTACAGTCAGAGCTGCCGTGTGCGCGTGTGCGTGTGCTTTGCTCTGGGACTTGTCAAGAACGTGGGAGCATTTGAGGGTGAAATTTGGAGCATTAAAGGGGAGTTTGAACTCAGCTGGCTGTGTGGCCTTCATAAGTTGACATCACAGAGAGTAATTACAAAGATTGAATAGAATGATGTAGAATTTGATATGATGGGAAAAGCTGGAGAAAGAAAAAATGAGTTTGAAAAATGGCCCAGATCTTATCAGGGCTGTGGATTAAAAAATATTACCCCTGTGGGAGAGGCAGTTGAATGGCAGCTCAAAATGTGCTCACCCCTACTCTAAGATAAATTGCTTGACTACGTGAGCAAGAGCTGAACATTGCACACAGATTCATATACCCTTAGAAACTATCATAACAATATATGCATATATGCTACTTCATTACACAGCAGTAATTACAGATACTTTCTACCACCTTTGCTAATAGAAAGATTGAAAGAAATTCCAGAAGCCAGTTCTTACATGTCTTCCCTACCTTGTTGATTCTGAATAATGTTGAATTATCAGTACACAAATAACCCTACTCCTTGATTTTCACAGGACCTTCCTCCCCTGTAGCTGCTACGATGCCTACATTAAAGTGTAGCATATCTAGTTGGTCCACCAGCTATGTATCCCAAATTTTACTTATTAAAAAGGGGTGTGTATACTGTACATACATACATACACACACACACACACACACACACACACACACACACACACACACAAACCAGGGGTGGGTTCCTG